CAGCCAGTGCTCCGAGGTGAAAGCCTCCTCCAGGTAGCGCAGCTCAATGTTCTTCTGACCAATCTCCACATTTCGAGTCCTATCAAAGCCCGAGGGCATGCGGGGGTCCAATTTGAGCTCTCCGAAACGGTAGTAGCTCATTTTGTACATCAGCGAGCTGGTGAAAGTCTTGGGCGCCTGGTGATCGACCCGGTATTCACCCTGTAGGAAGTAAACCACAAGGCCGGGATAAGTGCAAGTGAAGTTCCAAGACTGCTCTTTACAACATAAAAATGGGCAAAATTGATTTGTAGGGCCCCTCTAGATACCTATCCCCCAGCCCAACTGCTTAAAGTATTTTGTGGTCAAACATTTAATTATTGGCTAGTGAGCATAAATTAATATGTAACCGCGGTGGAAGTGATCAAAAAATATTAAATTAAATAAGACTATGTTTGTTTTAATATGCTAAAATAAAATAAAATTCAATCAACATAAACTTCTGTTGTGCAGGTCACGAATGCTAATCGAGGGAAATTCGACTTTATGCAGGCGGAATTTAACGAAAATGGAAATTCGTCTTCCTATTGGTGGAATTTTACAAAACAATTTAAAGTCAGGCTACTGAACATTTAAAAGGAGCTTTTTTAGTATAAGTCGACGGAATCTTTCGGGCCTCTAAAATCAATCTTGCCTAAAAATGAAAGTCAATGGGGTTCAAAAAAGTTAAAGCGCGCAACACGGTTGTCAGAACTCTAAGTGGAGAGACAAGAGACATGAGTAAGGTTGAGTAATATCAATGGGAGAAGTGCGGAACATTGTAGGGAAGGCTCACTGTTTGCGGGGTACACCACAGACATCGTCGATAACACTTAGCAATTGGTTCTGAGATAATGAGAGCGGAAAAAGCAGGTTTGAAAGGGCGGGGGCACCTACCTGAGCAGTAAAGTAGTCATTCTCACGAATCTCCGTGGGGTGCTCGCCCTCGGCAATGCGAACCATCCACAGGAATTTGTTGATGTCGTCGCCAGAGTAGCCGGTAAATCCGCCAAAAATGACTAGCACGTAGTCCACGTCGAGTGATTGCATGAGCTAAAAAAGGAAGACGTAAAGACAACAGATGAAACAGAGGATGCAGATGGAGAAGCGACGGGTTAGCAGGAAGGTGAGAACAGAACCAGCTGATGTAACCC